CCTGCCCTTGAACCAGAGAGCTCCCACCTTGGGAGTAGCATGACTTAATCTCTGAGTAACACTGAATTGCTCTTACCTTAAAATTAAGCTGAAATGCACCTCTCAGGAACTTCCACTTGTTGGCCTAGTTCAACACCCCCGTGCCACACAGGTAATAACATCAGCAGTGATTACAATAACGAGAATAATAATACAAGTCCATAATCTAAAACCCACAAAGCTCTGAAAACTGAAAGCTTTTATAACTCTTTTGGCAGCAAAAGCTGACCCGAAAAGACTTGTGTTGTTTGCAGTTCCCATCTGTCACCTTGGCATGAAGACCTTGAGCTGCAGAACAGTTGTTGTGCTTGGTGGTGGGTGCTACTTCAGACCCCACCAAGAGTGTCACATAACATATGATCCAGACACCCCACAGGAAAGTGCTACTATTGTAGGTCCAAAGTGGTCAGCTATTGGTCGTCTCTTGTGGCTCAACTGCATGGATTTCTCAAAGCAGCCCCAAGGATTTTAGACATAGGACTTGAAGACCGGTAACCATGTTGAGCACTAACTATGTGACAGGCGCGGCACCAGGCCTGACTCTTAGATTAATATTTTCACCCAAGCCTCCTCAAGGCACCAGATTCCTGGTCTGCCCACATAGGGGTCATCTTCATGGGCTTATCTGAAAGTCCACTTTTCACCATTTGAGCACCTCAGCTTCCTCCCAGTCATCCCCAATGGCACCAAAGGCATCCCTCTCCTTCCAGCGTTCAAACCAAGATCACTGGCCTCAGGATTTTTTCTTTCTCACTCACCCCAATTCCTGCTCAATAGGAATCATACCTGTTGAACTTCAAAATGTATCCTGTGTCCACTGTTTCTTGTGACCCTCACCACCACCACCTCATGAAAGCCACTGTCAAGCCTCTCAGAGGCCACTGCAGTGGTCTCCAAGCCGGTCTCCCTTGTCCCTACTGCCTTCAGGATGCTCTCCATACAGCACCCAGGGTGATCTTTCTAATGAGAAATCCAAACCCGCCATCCCTCTGCCCTGCACTTCCCAGAGATTCCCTGCCCCAGCTCACTGAGGAAGAAACCAAATCCTCCCCAGGCCCAGGAGGCCTCTGTTACCACTCTGGCCTCACGTGGAGAGTAGGCTGTGCCCTGCTCTGAGTTACCCCTTGAGGTCTAGAACAGCAGTTTTCAGGCTGTACCTGAACCAGAGTTACTCCATGTGTAAAGCAGGAGTTTGTCATCAGCTACTTCTCTTTTACTTTAGTGCTGAGGCGGAATGATTCTATAGCTTCTTTGTACAAATAGACAACCGCTAACTGCCTAGCAAAACCATAAGGCACAAACTGATAAATAAATCAATCACACTGGTAAAAAATGATCACCTATAAACTTATTGAATGAATCAGAAGCACAAGGGTGTGTGGTTGTACCAAACTCCTATGGGAAAAACCAGGCCCATGAGTTTATTGAGCACACCACACCACTGAAAGAGGTGACCCCCTCACTAGAGGGCCATGAAAGGAGGAGAAGCTCAAGGCTGGACACCAAAAAGGCTTGTGTTGTTTGCAGTTCTCATCTGTCACCATATTTCTAATGTCAATGTATCCATGATGTATGTGCTACCCACCTGTTAGACACTTAGTTGGTTATCAGATAAATTGTCATGGCATCACAGTATTTACAGTATTTAGTACCTGTTATTTTACTTAATAATGTCCTTAAAGCACAAGAGTAGTGATGCTGGCAATGTCATTACAAAATATTATTATAATTGTTTTATTTTGTTATTGTTAATCTCTTACAGTGCCAAATTTATAAGTTCAATTTTGTCATAGGTGCATATGAATAGGAAAAACAAAGTATTTACAGATGAATCCTAATTTACGATGGCTTGACTTACAATTTTTTGATGATGGTGTAAAACCAATACACATTCTGTAAAAATTGTACTTTGAATTGTAGCCTTTTCCTGGGCACAAAGGTAATGCGATACTCTCTAAAGATTCTAGGCAGCAGCAGTGAGCCACGGTGCCACTCAGCCACTCGCTCATGGGGTGAGCAACAGACACCGTGCAGGGTATGGTGTTGCTAAGTTGTGATGTTGGCAAGTCATTAAGCTTAGGGAGGTTTCAACTTTCATCAGGATGTCACCCCATCACAAGCCTCTTCATAAGTCGAGGAGTATCTTCATAGGGTTCAGCATCATCTGTGGATTCAGTTACTCATGGGATATCTTCCAACATATTCCCTGTGGGCCAAAGGGGGACCACTGTGTGAGCTTTATGGACATGGGGAATTTTGTCGATTCTTTCCATTGCTTTATCCCCACTACTTGGAACACTGTCTTGTACCTAGCAGACGCACAAGTGCACTGCCTCATCATTCAGCTGTAAGCTGTTCACCTTTTGCCTTTGAATCTACTGAGAATCAAGAATGAAAGAAGAAGTACTTGTGGCAACCAAAATAGGTGTGTCTCTCTCACTGAAGGATACACAGATGGAAAGAGCACGTGAAGAGATACTCAAGGTTATTAGCTATCAGAGAAACGTGAATTGAAACCACAGTGAGATATTAGTACACACAAGCAGAATGGCTGAAACAGAGACTAATGATTACACCCAGTGTCAGAGAAGGGATGTTAGCTCTTTCACGTGTTGCTGGTGAGAATAAAATGGTACAACCCTCTGGAACAGAGTGTGGCACCTGCCTGCACACTTAAACATGTGGTTACCACATGAATCAGCAATGTCCTTCTTGGGCATTTATACCAGGGAAATGGAAACAAATTTGCACAAAAAGCTATTCATGAATATTCATAACAGCTTTATTCATAATGACCCAAAGCTGAAAGTATCCCACATGTCCTTCAGTGCACAAAGGGTTAACCAAACTGTGGTACATCTAGGCCACAGAATGGAACTCAGTCATCAAGAGGAATGTCAAGACTGTGGATGTGGTAGAGTACTTGCCTGGCTGGTATGAGGACCTGGGAGTAATCCTCAGCATGAAGAAAGAAAGAAGGAAAGAAAGGAAGGAAGGAAGGAAGGAAGGAAAGGGGGGAGGGAGGGAGGAAGGAAGAGAGAGAGAAAGGGAGAGAGGGAGAGAGAGAGAAAGAAAAAAAGAAAGAAAGGGAGGGAGGGAAGGAGGGAAAGAAAGGAAGGAAGGAAGGAGGGAAGGAGGGAAGGAAGGAAGGAAGGAGGGAAGGAGGGAAGGAGGGAAGAAGAGAAAGAGAGAGAGAGAAACAAAGAAGAAAGAGAAGAAGGAGGAGGAGGAGAGAAGGAGAAGCAGAAGGAGAAATGTTACATTACAATAGCAAAGATGTAGGGAGCTGCAAAGCCCTGTTTCTTAATGCATTTGTTGGACCAAGCGTGGGCAAACAAGAAACATGAAAGGCACCCTTTGCCTGAATTCTTTGAAAATATGTTGGAGGCTTATTTCGATTAACGTAGTTATGAGTCTATCGTGTGACATTTACCATGTCAGGAGCAACAGCCATGGGGAAGGAATGTGACCTATCCTTCCATATCTGATAGTCTAATGGGGGTGACATTAAAATAGTCACACCCAGGCCAGTCTGAAGAGTTCAAAGACAGGGGAAGAAAGTGAAGCCGCAGAGGATAAGCATCCCACTCCACTGAAGGAAGGGGACATAGGATGGTTTTCCACACAGTAAAGGAAAGGGCAGCTCAGAGATGTGAAGAGAGAGACTGGAAGCTTCCACAACAGAAGGAACACCATGTGCAAAGTCCAGCTGGTCCCTATGGATCTGAGGACTGCGTCTTGGAAAAGTAGGAAGAGACAGGCTGGACCTGGAGAGGGCCGGGGGTGAGCAGGGCCAGGCCTATAAAGGGCCTTTCCAGGGGACCTGGAGGCTTTGGCTGTGATATGATCAGCAGCTGAGTGGAGGGTGTCGTCAAACTGTCCTCTGCCACATGCCCCTGGCCATTCCTCAAGCCTTCTGGTTTCTTCAACCCACCTCTTTGCAAGGTCCACTACGCTCCTCTCCTATGGCCCTTGGAGCTCCAAGGCCCAGTTCCAGCACCACTCCTTTGTCCCGGAAGCCTGCCACACTCCTGCTGGAGTGGGCGCACCAGGCAGGAGCATGTGCAGAGCAGTGACCGTCAGAGCCCAGCCCTGGCTCCAGCTTCAAAGAGGGAATACTCCTACCTCAAATGGCCTTCTCAGGATTGAAGAACCTCACTGATACCTTAACTCAGAGCAGCCACTTAATCAGAGTACCCACTTAATCAATGTTATTCTTTACTACGCTGCAGCCCCCGATACGGCCAGCATGGGCCAGGCGTGTCTCTGGTGGCCCATCAGCCTTGGATGAATCAGGGTGCAGGAAGTCAGTGACTTCCCCCACCAACAGCCACCTCTAACTCTGACCTTACACTCTCAGCTTAAATTGAGGGCAACACAGGCTAGAAAAATCCTTTGCTTTCATGGACTCTTGAGTGGTAGGAGCCAGAACCCCAAACCCTGACCGTAAGGACTAGGTCATCTTTATCCCAGGAAGGCCCTCGCCGCCCTTCAGAGCCTCAGCATTCCCATCTGTTCCATGGGAGTGACAGGAACAGAGGGACAGAGGGCTTGGCCACCCTTGCCAAGGGAAGGCCCAGGCAAATGGGATCCCCATTCCCCGCCTGCAGGCCACTCACCTCCCCTTCCCTCACTTTCACTTCCAGAAGCCACACACTCCCCAGGCCAGCAGGCTGGCAGGCCTCCAGCCAGGGAGCAGGTATATGTTAATTAGCCACACCCACGGACTTGAATTGTTTTTCTCCCCCTCCAGGGACTTTCCTAACTTCCTCTGTAAACTAAGGAAGGAGCACATGAGCATTCTGCATATAAATATACTTGGGAAAGATTTCTTCTTCTTCTTCTTCTTCTTCTTTTTTTTTTCTTAAACTGAACTTGGTTTCTGGTGTGGGCGGTGCATTCCCTAGCAGGGCAGGGCGGGCGGACTGCTATTCAGCGGGAGGGGGAGAGGAAAGGGGAGGAGAAGGCCGTGATTAATTCGGCCTCGGTGAGAGCTGCTCTATTTAATGGGGGGTTCGGGCCCAGGAGGAGTTAGAGACGCCTCCAGGACAGAGAAGCATGGCAGAAGATCTGGAACTGGGCTTCGGGGAAACAGCCAGCGTGGAAATGCTCCCCCAGGACGGCAGCGGCGGGCCCAAGGGCAGAGCCAGGCTGGTAGCCAGGAGGGATGGGGTGTGCTGTGCCTTTACCGGCTGCCTGCTCGCCTTCCCCATCCTAGCAGGACTTACCGCCTACCTGCTGGTCAGCCAGCTCCAAACCCCAGGAGAAGACTGCACACCTGTCCCGGTAAGAAGCCCCACTCTGGCCTGGGAGTCAGGGGACCCTCTGCCAGCAGCAGCCCAGTTGCACCCAGAGCTCCTGAGTGCATCGCATTTTGTTTTTTTTTTTTTTTTTTTTTTGCTTCCATATGCAAAGGAAATACAGAACTGCAGGGAGGAAAGTTCATCCTGGTTTCTCTCTTCGCTATTTCCAGGGATCAAATGGACACTTCTTATATTTATATGGGAATAACTTCAAGCTCCGTGTGTTTAGGTGACAATAATTATAGCAGACTTATATCTTGAAAGCATTCCTCTGCTTTACAAAAAAAAAAAAAAAAGGCACAGTGACACATGCCTGCAATCCTAGTGGCTCCTGAGGCTGAGGCAGGAGGAGGGCGAGTTCAAAGCCAGACTCAGCAACTCAGTGAGACCTGTTCTCTAAATAAAATACATTAAAGGGCTGGGGATGTGGGTCAGTGGTTAAGCACCCCTGGGTTCAATCCTCGGTGCCAAATAATAATAATAATAATTAAATTTTAAAAAAACTCTTAAATACAGTCCTTGCAAAAAAAAAATTTAGAAATCACAGATAAGGAAATAAGGAAAATGATCGTTGTGCATAAACTCTTAGAGATGACAACTGTTAATAGTTTGAGCAACATAATTCATATTATTTTTGAATAGAATGGAATTATTCTGAGTTTTCTAGTATATCATGATTTTATTTATATGATGATAAGTTCACAGCTGCCTGATAATGTGGATGACCGTATTATCTTTAGATATGTGTGTGCTATAACTTATTTAACCAACTCCCTTTCTTGAGTTTAGAAAGATTGATTTTTTTAATGGTCGGCAAAAAAAACAAAACAAAAAAAAACTCCTGCTTGATCTTCTCCCTGTAAGATCTTGTTGAGGGCTTTAGAGAAACTTAGTAAAAATGAACATAGACTCTAGGGCTTTCCGGTGATGGGGCGAGGGTACAGGTGTCTAGGAGAACATGAGCAATCTGGACTAAAAACATCAGAAAACTACCTGAAAGCCTAAGGAATGTTATCAAAGAAATATCAATTTTAAAATAAGCACCTGCACAATCCATGATAGCTGATTTAACTACAGTCCAAAGTATTAAATTCTCAAGGAGAAAATAATTGGTTTAAACGGCAACCTGGTCTCTCAGCAATCCCGGCCAGCTGCCAAGCAGAGGGCAAGCTGTGGCTAATGTGTAACGCTCGCTGCTCCATCAGGGTCAACAAATAGGCTGTGATTCAGACAGCAGCATTCTTGGCCACCTGCCATTGCTTGTAAAATGTGGAAGCATGCAGACAAGCCGGAAATGCTTCTGAGATTGGAGAGCAGCAGGGCACAGGCAGTCAGGCGGTGACCCCTGGACCACCAGGCTGGTCCCTAAGAGAAGCCAAACCACAGCACCCATTGTGTGCACCAGGGCTCTCTCCAGCCAGCAGGTTTTCTAGGAGGAGACACCCAGTGACCTCCAGCCACCTGCACGCTCCTTGATTCCAAAGCGAACCTCACAGCACGGTGGCATCCCACCCCTACCCTCCATGCCCATGTCTGTGATCCCCCACCAGCAAAAACTAGAGGGCTTTGTCCATCTAGAAGACCACAAAGTGGATGCCACTGTCTAGGGAAGTGAGCTGGGGACAGGAACTCTCACTAGATAGGAAGCCCCTTTAAGGAAGGTGCCAAGCCCCGGGGTTTGTTCCACACTTGCCCTACCCAGGGCTGGAGAAATGAACCAGGCTGAGACTGTCCCCTTTGTTATAGGGAAACCGGCCTTTCTGGAGAATGAACACGTGGGGATGTTTGGGGCTGTCACTTGGCCAGGCTTTGGAATTTAGTGCGTCAGAGGAAAGAGAGAGGGAAATAGGGGTGAGGCTGGGGCACATGTAGCAATCAGGATCCTGAAAAGCCACAGCTGGTCACTCGGAGAAGAGCATTTAAAGGAGAGTTTGGAGGGGGTTAAAGAAGAGCCTGTTTGCTGGGGAGGCACAGACTGAAGGAAACCAAAACAGAGGAGGGGTTGGCGGCAGCAGGAAGCCACCAACCTACCACCCCTTACCATGGGGATCTGTGTGGTTTTAGAGGAACCCGGGGAGAAGTAAAGCCAGGAGAGGGTCTTTCTGGGGGCCTGCAGAGTAGGGAGACCCCAGTCAAAGCAGCACAGAGGGGATGGACGGAGTAGGGAACGCTGGCAGCTCTCCTCTCCAAGCCTCTGATCCCACTGACCAGACTCAACTGGAAGCCAGAGCTCCAAGAAGCCAGGGAGCAGCCATGCCCAGAGGCCAGCCTCAGCATGCACAGAGCAAGAACAAGAAGGGCAGAGGGCAGGTGTGCAGGGACAGCCAAGCGGGAGGTGGATGAAGATGGGAATGAAGACAGGAAAACCCGCTCAAAAGATGACTGTTAGATACCTGGACTTGAAACCCAACCCCCCTGCTTCTAGCCATGTGAGAACAGCCACGTGGCTTCATTTCTTTCAGCCTGTTTCCTTTATTTCCAAAAAGGGGTGTTACTGTCAACACCCTGACAGTTTCAATGAGGCAGGCGAAGAGCATCTCCCGTTGGAATGGGGCAGAGCTGCTGCGTGCACACGGCTATTGTGATGGGATCATTGCTCTGTGTCAGACACTGGACAGCCACCAGAAAATGATCTGGGGCCTCAGGAGCTTCAAGTCTAGTGCACAAACAAGGAAAGGGGCTATTTCAGAGTAGAGATCCCGTGGGTTCCAGATACCCTCCCAGCCCAGCCACAGACGTACAGTGGGGCAGGGAAGGCTCCCTGGAGAAAGGAAGAGGGTCACCTGCAGCTAGGAGACTGTGCCTGAGGTCCAGTCCAGGACCCCATTGCACATAGAGCCAGTCAGACAATCACAGGCCACTGGGAGTAGGCCTTTGAAGGTCATCCAGCCCAAAGCCTTTTGTTTTGCAGATAGGGAAACCGAGACCCAGAGGGATGAAGGGATTTGCCAGAGGCCTCTGCCTCTAGTCAGTGGCAGAACCAAGGTTTAAAACCAGCCCATCTGCCCCGACTGTTCTTTGCATGGGGCAGCAGAGTTCATGCTGGACCAGACGCAGACTGCCAGCCACAGGGAAGATGACGTCAGCAACTCCAGGGAGAAAGGAAAGCAGCCACAACTTCTCTCAAAACCCACTGCCAGCCCCCAGCACAGGCTGCACATACCAAATCCAAGGCACCCCCAGAATCACCCACCCAGCACTCCTGGCCCAGGAGCAGGATCAGAGGGGTAGCCTGGCATGCTCCTGGTGTGGAAACTGAATTAAAAGCAAAACCTCCCAACTTAGAAATCCCCTCTCCAAAGGCAGCCAAGAAAGAAGATGCCTGTATTATTGAATAAGCATCAAACTAGGATGTGATGCACACCACGGGCAATCTGCTAAGGATCTGCAAAGCCAGGAAGAAATCACCCTCTATGTAAATAGACAGGCAGCTGAGCCATCCCCTGCAAGTGAAGAGTGAAGTGCATCACAGCATCTCAGCACGCATAGCAGGGGATACTTCCTTTTGATGAAAGAATTCACACGTGCAAATGTGTTCACAAAGGCATAAAAAATTTTACGAAGAGCTCAGAGATCAGTACCTGTTAGCATGTGGGGAACTGGGTGTCTGGGCCACAGCAGGAGAGGGACATGGATAAACCGATGTTGCTTTGTAGTAATTGTATGTGTTGCCTACACAAAGAAAGATTGGGGTGGTAAAAATGTTTTAGGATATTTAAGCTTCTGGAGCATTCTAGGCAAATTTGCATCTTGGGAAGATTGTCAATCAAAAGTTAAAACCCAAGTCTGAATTCTGGTCTAGTTCTTAATGTTTCCTAACCTCCCTGGGCTGCTTCTTTATGTATAAAATAGAAACATGTGTAAAATAGACAATTAGAAATAAAGCACTGATGGTGTCCTGGATTAGTAGGATTGACCTTTATGACTGGCGAACTTCCCCAGTTGAGGGATGACATCATTGACTTCCCCACCGGCCTTGGAATTTGACCTCACAAGCTGGAGAGCAGGTTTGGATGCTGTAAGGCTTTTTTCTTGGTCTCAGATATTCATGAGCTGTCTTCATACCTCCCGCCCCAGCCCAGTCTTGGCCCAGTACCACAAGAGCCCGCTGTACTTCAACCTTAGTCCAGGGATTCTTTAAGGCTTTTGTTAGCTTCCACCGCCCTGAGGATGTGTCCACAGGCCCCACTCTGGCCGACAGGTGCCCTAAGGCCAGGCCTCCCTCTTTCCTGGGCACACAGTCTATACTCCAAGAAAACCTGACCACATCAAGGCTGCTTAGCCCCAAGCTCCAGCAAAGAATGGGCAGTCAGTCCTGTGCAGTGAGTCCTCAGGGATGCTGCAGGAAGCCTGCCTGCCCAGGCTGCGCCCCTGCCCATCCCTTCCTGGAAATCCTACTAGGGTCCGTATACCCCTTCCCCTTGCCATCCTCTTGAGACCCTCTGATCTCCACTCAGACCAACAAGGCTCCATTGTGATGCCAGCTCAAGCTTCAGAGTCACACCAACTGGGGAAGCTGGGAAAGCCGTGGCTCACCACACCATAGCTGTGACCTCTGAGTATTTCCTATGCACCAGACACCATGCTCAATTTTTTCATATTTAGGGTTTTAAGAAGAGTAAATAAGATCATGCCTATAAAGTGCTTGGTGTGTTACCTGGCATATGAACACACCAACATATGTTATTATTACTACACCCATCATCTCAGTAATCTTTGATATCACACAATAAGTGCTACTGTTATCACCATTTCAGATATGATGAAACTGAGGCTTAGAGAAGTTAAGCAATGTGACCAAAGTCTTAAAGAATGGGACACTGGAATTTAAATCCACTGTATATTTTCCTCCTGAACACTATGCTCACAGGGTGCTCACCTCCTGAGGTGACCAGATTTAATCCTGAGAAATCTGGCACATAGTAAGTGCTCAATAAATGCTAGTTCCCTTTCCTTCCCTAAGAGTACCTAGGATATCTGGCA